TCTGTCTGTCTGTCTGTCTGTCTATCTGTCTGTCTGTCTGTCTGTCTATCTATCTATCTCTCTTTCTACCTATCTACATATCTGTCTGTCTGCCTACCTGTCTGTCTATCTATGTCTCTGTCTGTGTGTCTGTAAGCATGTTTTTATTTGGTTCACCAGCTAGACCAGCACTAACCAGCTTGGAAATTCTTTTTAAGTTGGTCTTTTCAGCAGAGCAGTCTGGTTCCAATTACTACAGTATGAGTATGTGTGGAGAAAGTGATGAGAAGAGAAATAGAAAGTGGGGAGAAGAAGATGAGAATATTCCTGAAAAAAATTGCTTATTTGTCACTAAGAGCCAGATTTACTAAACAGGGCAAATTAGCGCAATGCAGAACCTGATTTTACCAAGTGTGACATGTTCCTGGATCAAAATTTTTGTTGACCCTGGAACAACATTGTGATTAACCAATCAGATTTGAAGAACCAGTTTATAGTTTTTGTGAAGTTTAGGCTTACAATCAGTGTTTGGTGTTTGTGTCATTCATCTATCATTCATCAGTGTCATTCATCATTTCCTCTGATTTTAGGGATTACTCATGGTTAAGGTTAGGTTTAGGTGTAGGGATATGGTCAAGACTACATTTTTGGATCAAAATGTTGTTCCAGGGTCAACAAAATATGTTGACCTAGGAACACATCTAACTCAGCAAAATCAGGACGTGAATACGCCGATGGGAGGGGAAAAATTCTGCGTGTGATTTATTGACAAGGTGCACATTAAAGAACACAGACACAGCCAGATCTTTTCCAAAATGACCAGCGCAATCTACCAAGAGCAGCGCAAAATACCACCTGCTTTAAGACATGCTTTTTTGGGGCATTAAATAATTAAATACAGCAGGTAAAATAAGTATTGAACATGTCACCATTTTTCTCAGTAAATATATTTCTAAAGGTGCTGTTTTCATGAAATTTTCACCAGATGCTGGTAACAACCCAAGTAATCCATACTTACAAATAAAACAAAACAAATAAGTTCAGAAATTAAGTTATGTGTAACAAAATGAAATTACACAGGGAAAAAGTATTGTATCACTGAAATTTAAATGTAATACTTTTTGGTAATGACAGCTCCTGTATGGAGAAACTAGTGGCATGCATTGCTCATGTGTGATTTTGGCCCATTCTTCCACAGAGTCTTCAAATCTTGAAGGTTCCGTGGGCCGCTTCTATGAACTCTGATCTTTAGTTCCCTTTCAGTCGGTCACTCTCGACGTCACGTCGGATGACCGACGAAATTGGGATCTCGCTTAGAGAGACCAATCTACTTCGAGTGTAAACTAAACGAGCCAATGCAATCGAGAGTTTCCTTGGCTGTGTTTGGGATCATTGTCTTGCTGAAATGTCCACCCTTGTTTCATCTTCATCATCCTGGTACTGTAGGTGTTGGGACTGAAACAGCAAATATTAATTGGGGCAGGATTGCTTTCTAATCACTGATAGATTTCAGCTGGTGTCTTGGCTTTCCATGCCTTTTTGCACCTCCCTTTCTACAGGTGTTCAATACTTTTTCCCTGTGTCATTCCACTTTATTACACAGAACTTAATTTCTGAACTTATTTGTTTTGTTTTCTTTCTAAGTATGGATTACTTGGATTGTTATCGACGTCTGTTGAAAATCAAGTCAACAGCACCTTTAGAAATATATTAATTAAAGAAAAATGGTGACGTGTTCAATACTTATTTTACCTGTTGTACCAGTGAATTGACGAGCGCAAATCTTAGTAAATCACGTTGCGTGATTCATTTAAATACTCTCCTCACATAAATTTACCGATCGAAATGGAAACTCCTACTAAACGGAAATGGAAACTAAACTCCTCCTATTCAATAAGGTGAGTCGCAAAAATAACCATGTCCACGCCTTTTCAGCGCTATTTCCCACTGTGTGTCTTTAGTAAATCCTGACAGTAGTTTTTTTTAACGCCAAACGAGGGTTTGCACTGGCACAAGCTGATAGTAAATCTGGCCCTAAGTATGTAAATGTAGTTTGTGTTAACAAACAGGCCCCTTCAAAGGAACGCTGTAACCCAGACTGTCAGCCCACAAATCAATGAGTGAAATAATGAAGTATGTTTGATTCTGTGTCAAACAGGGCTGTTCAGCTCATTTCTCCAGTCTGATGGGTTATCAGTATCATCAGAAACGCTGTGGCAGAGAGCGGCCAGACAGACAGAAGCCTGTCTTCCTGTGCCAGCACTGTGGTAAGACCTATCGCTCAAAAGCTGGCCGTGACTACCACCTGCGCACCGAGCATCCCGTCACCGCCCTGTCCACACACTCGGTGAGAATACACAGCCACGCTACACGTCATACTGCTAATCTAACATTGTGTGGAAAAACGTCACGACCAGTGTCATGTTATTGATCATGTTACTGAGTAATTAATCCAGATGTTTGTTATATCACCACATTTAGCTCATAGCTGAGGACTGGAAACAGGAAGACAGTAAAGATGAGGAGGATGTGCTGGAGGACGAAGAAGAGGAGGAGGAGGAAGAGGAAGAACCTGTTCAAATAAAGGGCAGAGAGAAGGCAAAGGAGAGAGTAGACGAGCCGGTGGAGAAGATGGAGGAGAGGAAGGAGGAGAAAACAGAGGTGGATGAGCTGCTGGATTTGGAGAGGACGCCCAGCGGCAGGGTCCGCCGGCGCTCGGCTCAGGTGGCGGTGTTCCACCTGCAGGAGATCGCAGAGGACGAGCTGGCCAAAGACTGGGGCACCAAACGACGCATCAAAGACGACCTCGTACCAGACATCAAGAGGGTATGGCAGTGTTGAAGTCACTTTGAAAATGCTACACTGGTCACACTTTATTTTAAGGTCCAATTCTCGCTATTAACAAACCATTAACTACGACTTTTGCCTACTAATTTGTTGCTTATTAATAGTTAGTAAGATAGTTGTTAAGTTTAGGTATTGGGTAGAATTAGGGATGTAGAATATGGTCATGCATAATATGTGCTATATAAGTACTAATAAACAGCCAATATGTTATTAATAGGCAGAGAACTGGTCCCTATACTAAAGTGTTGCCGCTACAATACGTTTACGTTTACAAAAGTAAATTGTCAAATTAAAAATCTGAGATTTGTTTATTAACAGCATTTATACAACACAAAACAGATATCAATAAGTTTAACAGCATCAATTTATATTTCCTTAAAGGAATAGTTCAATCAAAAATGAAAATTCTGCCATTAATTACTCACCCTCATGTCGTTCCAAACCCGTAAGATCTTCGTTCATCTTCGGAACACAAATTAAGATATTTTTGATGAAATCCTAGAGCTTTCTGGCCCTCCCATAAACAGCAGCACAACTGAAATGTTCCCAGGTCCAGAAACGTAGCATCGGTAAAATAGTCCATGTGACATCACTGGTTCAATCATAATTTTACGAAGATACGAGAATACTTTTTGTTCGCAAAGAAAAAACTAAAATAACGACTTTATTCCACAATTCTTCTCCTCATCCTGTCTCCTCTAAATATAAACAATGCATGCGCTTGCTCTCCTCTAAATGTAAACAACGTATGCGCGTGCTGCTGCTTATGTTAAATGCGCTGTGCCTTGTTTACGCGTCGAGGACAGCATGCGCATGCGTTGTTTATATTTAGAGGAGACGGCATGAGGAGAAGAATTGTTGAATAAAGTCGTTATTTTTGTTTTCTTTGCACACAAAAAGTATTCTTGTAGCTTCATAAAATTACAGTTGAACCCCTGACGTCACATGGATTATTTTACCGATGTCCTTGCTATGTTTCTGGACCTTGATCGTGTTAGGACCCTTGCTGTCTATGGAGGGTCAGAGAGCTGTCAGATTTTATCAAAAATATCTTAATTTGTGTTCCGAAAATGAACGTCTTTCGGGTTTGGAACGACATGAGGATGAGTAATTAATGACAGAATTTTCATTTTTGGGTGAACTAACCCTTTAAAGACTATGAAAATATTAGGGCTGTTGATTTAACTTGTTAATTTGATGTGATTAATTATGGGGAAAATAACAAATTGGTTAAATGAATGAATAAATGACTCGCTCATTAGGATTCTCCGCCACCTACTGATTGTTTTTGTTTCACATTGAGAGAATCAATTATTTAAAAAAAAATAATTTCATGTTTCAGTATTAAAAAAAACTCATTAATAGCCATTTATTGAAATTATTCATGCAATGTTGAATCAAAATATTTATTTTTAAAGCTTTTTGTAATGTCTATTCATTGCTCTTCTCATTTAACACAATTATGACTTTGAAAGTTGATGTGCAGTTCATTTTAATCGTTTGACAATCCTAGAAAAAGTGTAGTGATAAACAGAAGCATATAACATATAATTTTACATAGCATATTTAAATAGCATACAACTTTAAATATTTATTTTAAATTTACTTTATCATTGAAGCAGAGGTACTACTTCATTGAAATGTTTTGTCTCTCTTTTCCGCTACTTATTTCCAAACATGTTGCCTTAGCCAGTATCATGCTACTAAAAAATGTAGTCAGTAGTGTTTCTAAATTTTGGTAGTTACTCCTCATATACACTGCTTATTTTTTCATTTCTATGTACACACTTTCTTTTATAGCTCAACTATACACGACCAGGTCTCCCCAACTTTAGCCCTGAAACTGTGAACAGCTGGAAGAACGAGGTGAAAGAAAAAGGATTTATCTGCTGCCCCAATTGTGTAAGTATTTGTCTTGTATTTCTGACCGAACATTGACTTTAACAGCTGTTAGTGCTTCAGTAACAGATTCCAACCTCAATATGAACATCTGAATGATATCAGTAGATGTAGGTTTGTTGGAGAACCTGAAGAGCTCTTGAAAGTTGTCTTGAAAGTTGTCTTGAAACATTTTTGTTGCTCAGTTCTTCTGCTCAAGTCTCTCTTGATTTCATAACAGAACTGCGAGGCTATCTACTCAAGTGTATCTGGACTTAAAGCGCACTTGGCAAGCTGTAACAAGGTATAAAAAAACCTCTGCATGCTTTGCTGTAGTTAATTAATTATAGATCATTTAAACTGCTGTACATGTTTGATCTCAGATATTGCTGATACTGTATCAGCTTCACTGCTGTTATTGTTCTCCGCACAGGGAGGGGGCGACGTAGGGAAGTACACTTGTTTGCTCTGTCAGAAGGAGTTTAACTCTGAGAGTGGCGTGAAGTACCATATCAGCAAGACACACTCTCAGGTAAAGCAAACACTAAACCCGTGTACTGTATGCTTAGCAAATGAAGCTGAGCACTTGCCCTTCATAGTCTTCTAGTATTAAGAAATGTTGACTGCTAAAAGGACAGTTCACCCAAAAATTTAAATAATCCCCCTCCACTTGTTTCAAACCTGTATGAGTTTCTTTCTTCTGTTTGACACAAAAGAAGATATTTTGAAGAATGTTGGTAACCTAACAATTGACGGTAGCCATTGACTTCCATAGTACAGAAAAAAATACTATGGAAGTCAATGGCTGATAACAGAATTTACATTTTGGGTGAACTATCCCTTTAAGGCCTGTTCACACCAAGTTCAATATGAATGAACAAGACAAGACTTTGCCAAAAAAAAAAAAAAAAAAGGTCACTGTCATGTACAGTAAATTTTGGTTTCTTTAAAATCCATTGAAACAGAGAAATATATTTTTATTTTAATAATATTTGCATTATTTCCTAAGTTTTATAAGTTTATAGTTTACATTAAATTTTAGCTTTTATTTTTAGCTTTTAATTTTAGTTTTTATTTTATAGACTTTTGATTTTTATTTATTTTAGTTTTGGTTTTAATTTCAGGTATTGAGGAATCTGATTATCAGAATGTTTTCAGAATGATCTAAAATAACCAAGACATTTGAATTAAATTGACTTTTCATTTATGGACTTTTATATTTTTGAATAGATTGTAAAAATTGACCGGAAGGATTGGATTTTGCAGAAAATCGGTTAAATCCTTAAGTTAACTCGCTAATAAATCCGCTATATAGGCATGTGCAGGTTAGAGTTAATGTTTTAACAAAGGTCACAACATTTTGCCGTCATATAAAGATTATTTTATTACAGCTATATTGAAAAATATAAATTCTGCACACTACACAAGTTTGCATCATCACAAAAAAATATTTTAATGAGCAAAGTTTCAGTTAATCGACCTTCCCTTACAAGCAAGACTTTGCTCATTAAAATATTTGTGATGATGTGAACTTGAGTAGTGTGTGGGATTTATATATTTTCTCATATTATTTCATATTTATAGGTTTATATTATATTTTCATCCAACACATCTATGATTGATTTGTGTGTGAAGCACTTTATCGTTCGAGTATTACATAAATAGTTTCATATTACCTGTTCATATATTTTTCGTACTTTAGTTTCAGTTTTTAGTACACAAAAACGTTGCTAACTTGAATTTTTTATCAAGGGGTCTCTAGGGATGAATAGTTTCCTTCTAAAATGTTATACTTCTAAAAATTCATGCAAATTCACTAATAGTCCTTGATTATCAGTTCCTTTTTGAACTTGATGTGGCCTTATGTGCACAGAACTGGTTTCGGGCGTCTACCAACGAGGTGACCAACAACAAGAAAAAAGAGCCAGAGAGCAATGGCTTACAGAAGGACATGAAAAACGTAGTGCCTGGGAAGAGGAGGGGACGAAAGCCCAAAGAGCACCACCTGGTGACAGCCCCTTTTCCAGCAGAGACTCAGAGCTACAGCCCAGCTCCAGCTCCGCTTCTACCCCAGACCGTAAGCCAAGCCCCAGAAAGCCAAACCCCCACGCCCAACCCCATCACCAACACCCCATCCACTCCCCCTGCCCCAGTGGACAGTGGGAATCCAGCCCAAGCCAGAAACACAAAGCCCCCTATAAAGAAACGAGGCAAAACTAAGAAAGCGCAGACCGCTGAGTAACACGGCTTTCAATCCGTCAACACCAGAAGGGATGCTTTCCGAACTACTCTGGAGAAAACTTTAGTCAATTCGGTCACAGGAATGAAGGATGGCACAGAAGAACGAGCTCAGAAAGATGAACGGCAGAACGAGGGGATGAAAAACAGCAGAAAACAACAATGATATGCTCTTGTATTGATTTCACACTGATCTTTGTTGTTTTTTAAGCTGAGTATATACATTGTGTGTGCTTGTGTATACTGATATATATTACTCCTGTTGGTTTTTCATTCCATTTTTATAGTTCATTTTAATAAGTTGTTCACTCTTGTGTTTGAAATTATTATTATTTTTTTTTAAAGAATATCGATCTCATTCAATTAGCATGATGAGCTAATTTACTGCTAACATTTTATCACGGTTGTATTCTGATGTGTATATATAATATCTATATCTATATATGAATATATTCAAAGCAATTAATTTTCGTCCATCGGTTTCAAACAAGGTGCGTCAAAAAAGTTGGTCATCGTTTAGGTTGCTTTTCCTCGGGTGTGTTTGGGATTGTTTTGTCAGTGGCAGCTGAATGGAGAGTTGGATTTAGATTGACGGCTGTTGTAACAGTGTGCTACTGTGCAATAGTGTTGCTTTTGTGGTTTCTTGTCCTGTCTCTTGCTCGAAATCGTGAGAGGTCTAAGCGCGTAGCCTTGTGTAACTCCCTATCCCTCGTCCCTTTGGGCTGTTTGGAGTAGTTTGTAGTTTGCTGCAGTTGACCCGGAGGTATTTGTTAAAACCTTTAACTGCTTTGAAGTTTGGTAGTGCTGTGTGCTTTCATTCTGTCTGATTGTTTTTTATGGGAATAAGAGCTTGTGGTGCTTAATGTAGAAGGAGTATACAGTGCAGACGATTAGAGAAATTCAAATCAATGATACTGATAATGACTACAAATGTGTGGGCAGGAAAAATTTAATCCTCCAAAGCATAGGAATGCCCTTCGACATCTGTGATGTCATCAGTCCTTGCTTAAACTTAAGAGGTCATTCACAAAGTAATGGAATGAAAAACACAAGTTTTAGAGATGTGATTTTTAAAAGTTGAACTTTTATCTTGAGCGCTGCATTCTTAGATTGCCGTGCCATGTGTGAGATGCATGACACACACGTCCATCTAGTGCATGTTTACATAGAAAACCAATGGGAAAACTGCAGTGGAATGCAAAAATGCATCCTGTGTGAACAGCCCCCAAGACTCAAACTGAAAAATTAAAACAGGAAATTTGGGTGAATCTCACAAAACCTGACAAGAATTATTTCACCTCAAAATCAAGGCAAAGAAAAATAAAATTCAGTTTTACTACAAGAAAGTGAAGCTTTTTTAGGATTATTCATTTTTATGTGTATTGCAACATTTTTATGACAATTAAGCACATTTTATCTGCCTATTCTATGAAAGCCAGTTTTCGTCATGAAAATAAATAAATAAAAAAGCTAAATGCGTATTGTTACAATTCTGAACTTTTTTTCACAGTTATGACAAAAAAAATGAATTATGAGACATAAACATGCAACTGCAAGACAGTCAGAATTGTGAATTCGTAATTACCTTTTTTAATAAAGAAAAAAAAACTATTATGAAAAAGTCAGAATTGGGAGATTATGAACTTGCAATTGTGAGAAAAAAGTCAGAATTCTGAGTTTATATTTTGCAATTCTGATTTTTTTTTCCCCAGATCTGCAAGTTTATTTCTTGTTTTATTATTATTATTATTGTTATTGTTATTATTATTAATTCTGTGGTGGAAACAGGCTTCCATACAATTCCTATTACCAATGTGAAAAAAAGTTACATTTTAGTTCCCGTTTTTGTTTTGTTTTTTGAAAAGTATTATTTAAAATGTTTAGAATGTATACATTATGGTAGTATTTGTAAATTAATACTTTAATTTTTTATTCATTTTTACAAAAAAATGGTTGCAGTAATGATTTATGCTCTATATGGTAATTATAATTTAGGAAGCAAATGTGATTAATAGTCACGAGAATAATGTCACAATGCAATCTTAACAATGCTAAAATTAGACTTTTATCCAAAATGTTTTTTTTTCTTAGATTTTAGTGCCCATATTTTTGTGAGATTCACCCGTTCAATTCACTTTTGATAGGAGTACAAGCAATGTGTGTGGAATGCACTTGAAGACCTCAGTGACTGTATGCAATAGTGAGAGTGTTTTGGGTGCACAAGCACGTGGTGTGATGTGAAGCATTGAAGAGCACAATCAGAATGGTCACTGCAGGCTTTATCCGAACGTTTCCGAATCAGAGAGCATCTGTCCAAAAACAAACGTGACGTCCGAACGGTCCTGCACATACTGATTCCAAAGCTTCTGATTGAGGCCTGTTTGAGGAAAACGCTGGTATTGCACTTTAACCCCTCCTCCCCCTCCCTCCTTATCTTGCACTTTGCAGGCACTGTTAGGCTTCCATTCTCTAACCTAAAATGAGTGGCTCTGTGTTGTGAGATCTCGGATCAGTTTCCTTTACATAAATCCACCACACGAGAGAAACTGATCACGGACGGGCCACCCCGAACGCCTGCCATGTGATCCGTGCGAGGGAAGCCTGTCCTCCATTCCCCAATTTAGAAAGCAAATCTATGTCAAATATGAAATGGAAATTATGTTTGAAGCCATAACGGTCCCCTTGAAGGTGACTTATGGAAGCAGTGTGTCTTTTTATTCTTCCTCGGTTTGTATAAAAGATTATAGATTGAAAAAATATATAATTTGCAACATAAATTAATTATGTATTCCAAAACCCTAATAATTCTAACTGAGGTACTTGAAATCATGAAAAAGAAATTGCCATAAAATTATTAGCATACAGGTCACAAATGGTAAAAAAAAAGGATAAATTATTAAAAATATATTTATCTAATGAGAAAAAAATAATAAGCTCAAAGTTGCATACGTTTATTTTATACTAATACGTGTAAATGTGATCTTAATCTCATAGTTGCTTAAGAAATCTAGGGTTGGTATGTCGTGGTTTTAGGCAAAAGGTGCTAGTAGCCAATCTACCTTAGTTAATGTTGCGCATGAAATTGTGAAGCAGTTAGTCTACCTTGCCATCGAGTCCCACGTTTCTGACATGAAATACTGTAGCAGTTCTCATTTTAACTGTCCTGCATCAATGGCACATAAAAATCTTCTGTGGCTTCCGTCACACTGAAATCCCCCTACCGCACTGTAAATGGTTGGCTTTTAAAATGGTGAATCTCACAAAACTGTTAAGAACGTATCTTATTTCATCCAAAAAACGAAAAAAATTTATAAATAAAAAAATATTAAAAAAGTAAAAAATGTCAATGCAAACACACACACACACACACATATATATATATATATATATATATATA